GCCAAGGGAAAGGCCAGTGCCAAGCTGAAGCAGATACGGCGGGGAAAAGCATCCGTCGTTCGCATCCACGTGAAGGCTAAGAAGGCTCCCAAGGTTAAACACATAAGTGCGGATGATGAGCCGATAGATGTGAGGAATGAGTAATAGATGGCTATTAGACAAGAATCGCTCAAACTAAAGCAACTTTTTTTAACATTACATTATTGTTGTACTATGAATCATTAGTTTTAGCTTGCACCGCATGTATTTATTTCCTAAAAGTTATGACCATGTTTTTTAGACAATCTCTAGTGCAGATTTTGCTGCTGATCGATGTTGTGAAAATAAAGGGAGAAGATTATGGTATAAGCTGTTCTATTATAATGTTATAAAGTTTAATCAATCAGTTCAGTATAGTTGATATTGTTTTCGCATATAGAAAAGGTTTTTAAAATATACATTAGAAATTTGTTCATATTTCACTGTTTGTCGCTTAGTTACAGTAAAGCTAGCACTTTGGCATATATAAACTCGTATGACTATAAAACTAGACATATCTAAGTCTAAGATCTAGGAGTACGCACTTTAAACTTAAGTGGATATGCACTATACAAGGATAAAAAATGAGTGCCAAAAATAAAGCGAGCCCCCTTTGTTAAGGCGTTGCAGTAAAGTAACCCGAGTTGAATTTTGGCACAATTGCGTCGATCTTCTTCACGATCGAGTTGAGCGACTCACGAGACATCTCGTAGAGCGTGTTGAGTGAGATCAGGCGCATGCCCTGCTGGTTGCACACCTCGATCACAGACCATTTCTCCAACAGTTTCAGGCAGTTGCGCACGGAGTCCGTTGATATGCTTTCGGCTGCAAGTGGGAAACATGCTCGATGGCATTAGGTGTAACTATAGATTCATTCAGCTCGTCTTACCATAGATGCAGCTGCCGCGCTTGACTTTACTGCTCAAGTCATTGATCACAAAGTTAATAAATTCGGACTCCAGCATGGAGTTTTTGTGCAGTATTTGCAGGGACTGCGCCACCGTCACATACGTCCAGGCGAAGGGCGCCAGCACCTCGCAAATGTAGCGCTGCTGCGCCAGGCTTTCGCTGGCGAACAACAGCTTGGGTTCATCCGCGTCCCCATTGCGCGCATCGTCGTCGTCATCCTCGTCAAGGCAGTCGGCCAGGCTGTTGGCCAAACGCCTGCACTCATCCGCATTCGGCAAATCCCCGTGCAGCTGTAGGGCATTGAAATCAGATTATAATCAAATGAGAAATGAGGCTAAGTGGCTTGTAGAATATACACTACCTTTTCGGACAGAACGCAACCACTGATCAAGAGGTCGTCCAACTGTTTGTACAGCAAATTCTCCAGCACCTGAGTCGGTTTGTTCAGAATAAATTCGTAGCGATAGATCTGGCAGTTTTCCAGAGCGGTATCTATCAGCTTTTTGCGAGACACCGCGGCGTCTTTCTTGTTCTCCGTTTCCGGAAGCAGGGAGTGGAAGGTGGTCAACAGTATCGAACTGAGGGCAAAGTGCGGGGTCAGCATGTTCGAGTAGTAGGCCAGCTCAATAAAGCTTTCCACTGAATTCACAGCCTTAATCACTAAACGCCCATTCTCATCCCGAGTGCGAGTCACAAGACCTAGGCAATTCAAATTCAATTAGCCAGGATACCAGACAAAATATCAACGGTCAGACTACCTAAGCCAAGCAGGTCACAGGCATATGCCACTATCTGCGAGGATTCCCCGGAAAAACCAATGTCCTTGCAGCCCGATAACGAGTTTCGCAAGTCGTCCAGTGCCTCGGCCAGCATTTGTTCCTCGGCGCCGTTCCTAAAGCGGGTGAGCAGCAAAAAGGCTAACGCATTGGTGGACATCACGGAGGTGGCTGCGGCGCAGTCAAAGACCACCTGGCGCGAGATGCTTTCGATCAGATTACGGTGTTCCTCACACACAACATCGGTGCCGTACAACGAGGAGGTGGATTGGTTGTGCTGCAGGACCCTGAGATAAAAGAGCAGTTGGTATATGTATGACAATATTAAATGAATCACAAAAGAAGCATAACGTCGAAGCAGACAGTCAAAAACACAGGAAATCATATCAAATCATCTTCAGCAGCGTACCTGGCAGATGGTTTGTAGACCTTGGCAATGTTGCCATCCTCCCGTGCTATCTTGTTGTACGAGTTGACCAGCTCACGTATCGAGTAGGGCTCGTTAAAGTCGATGCGCATGAGGCCGTAGTTCGATTTCAAGGCCTTCCAAATGCCCGAAATGGCCTTACCGAATGACTCGGGTATCTTCTTTTCGCCTTTCTGCTCGCGCACAAAGTTCCCGTCGACGAGACGCTCATAGTTCACGGAAACTGGTACCAGCAGTGCGTCAGGTATGCTGCCGTCCATGAAGGCGTTCACAATCACAGAAAGAATGCCGCCCTTGGGCATGCACGGCTTGCCAGTGCGCGTTCGTCCTCCCTCGATGAAGAACTCGACATTGTGGCCCTGCTTCAAGGCGTGGGTGAGATACAGGTGTAGAGCAGCCCGATAAAGCACGTCCTTCTTGCCCTCCACAGGATCAATCTTGCGTTTGATGAAGAAGGCACCCAAGCCACGTAAAAGTCCACCAAAGACGGGTATTTGCAGGTTGTTGCCAGCGGCCACCAGCGGACTGCGTATATCGTTATTCGTGAGTATCCACGTGACCATGATGTAGTCCAAATGGCTGCGATGTAGCGGCACAAAGATCAGCGGAGTGCCCGGCGATCGCTCAGTGGCTGTTTTGAGCATCTCGATCTGCTTCGTGTTCGTGACGACGCCGGAGAGGAAGCAGGGAAGCAACTTGTACAGGATCCAGGAGGTGAAGGCCAACAGGCCATTGTTCAGGGTGGAGCCCATGTCCTTCAGTATGCTAATGGCGCGCTGCTCCTGCTTACGCAGAATGGACTGGTAGGATATGCCCCTCTTCTCGTCCTCCTCCTCCTGCGCATCCTGATCTCCACTAGCACTGCGAGTGAGCAGACGATGACCATTTTTAGCGTACCTCTGCTCCCTCAACGTCTGTTCGGCGGCCTGTTTAATTGCGTGCTTCAGAACAGCATCGTTGTGCACGATCTCGGTGACCTGATGGATGCAGGGCAAGATAAGTACGGGTCTTTAGAGCTTTAAGGGGTCACCCACCTGTCGGTACTCGAACTTCTCGCTGCGCACTACCTGTGCAACATATGGGAAGAGAACGCCCCAGTCGAACAGCTTCTTGAAAGGCTTTTGACCCGACTGCGGAGTCAGCTCCAACATATTCTGCGTCCCGATGCCATGAGCCACCGAATTCTGCGTCTTGGGCTCCTGCAAAGAAACGATCGGAACGATTCAGTGATTGTGATGCAACTGGCGTGCATATAGACGTCATGTAGACAGGTGAATTGGTACCTCGAACCAGCCGCGAGCGTGAAACTCCTTCAGAGTCATTATAGCTACGAGATTCTACTGTTCTACAGCACTTTCTTATTGTAAATTCAGAATTTACGCATTTCCATGCGCCCGGCTTTTTTTTGCAGGAAATCGACGGCCGATAGGTCCTGCTCAGCTTTCAGGACTGTTATCGATTGGCAGGACGAGGTGGCAACGCCGCGAGCATGCAAACTTTTGGAAAAACTATTTTTGAACATTTGAAACTTAGTTTAAACTTTTATTTGTAAAGAGCGATAGAGTTAAAAACCAATGTTATTAATTTTAATGAATGTCATTAAGCTGCATTTTTGGCAAACTGGTTAATCACTTTGCGGACTTTGACTGAATTGCAATACGGTTACGGTATTTACAATTCATTGAGTGGAAATGTTTTCTTATCTGTGATACTAGACACTCCTGCAATTGCGTCACGGCGTGTAGTATGCGGTGGGGTTACCGTTAATGGTGGATGGGTGCCTGATAGGCGGGGAAACTTACATTGGATGATCGCAAAGTGACCAGGAGATCGCTGCGTATGGTGTTGATCTTGCTGAGGTAGCTCGTCCGGTAGCTTAGATTCAGATTCAGATTGGGAAACAAGCCAGCGATGATTACCGGTGCCCTGCAATCATAATCGGACCGGGATGGCGTTACAATCAATCAGTATAAGTAATTAAAATAGCACCAACGTTGGTGGTGCTGCAATCAAATCAAGAGCACGCAATTAACAATACAACACCTCTTCGATTATTTTTCGTGTACTTGAGCGGTCGGCAGTCCAACTTCGCCAGAGTTCATTAGCCCATCGCAGTCATCAGCGTGTATATATTTTTATATGAAAAGTGGGGTATGTTTTTAAGTAGTGCCGCTATTGATAAGTTTAGTTGTTCATAAAAAATGGCGCAGAATTGAACTTTGAGCGCGCTTTGTATGGCTTTCATGCATACAATTGTATCATCATATTCACTTGAAAATCAGCTGACATGTTCATGCGTTAAAATTATTTTGCTACTGTGTAAAAACATACATATAAACGATTCTCAAATGCTATATATGAAACATTATTTCTGACAGCTTGTTTATAATTTCCAATATAATTCTAAGTTATTTGAATACTAAAAGGGAACGGTTAATTGTCTCTTAATCTTTAGGTGAACTTGAAAGCATACTTCAACTATCAAAACTAAGTATATATAAAATGAATTACATAACCATTCGCTTTTACGGTAGTATTACGTTGAAAAGCACGTTTTCTCTCATCAAGTTTTTAAATAGCCCAATCTGTTTACGCTGAATTATTTTGTCACGGAACCTTTTCTTGATTAGACGACTACTCAATTGCAAAGAGAACTTGTAAAGAAATTCCAGCATTTATACGCCTTAAAATATAAATTTGTGGAATTTTGGAGCCGAATGCCAAATTCGATTTGCTATAAAGCATAAGCTAAACAATAACACAATGAAGATAGTGTTTCCTGCTCTTTTCAAAGCAATAAGTTCAAAAATGTTCACTGAATTTTAATTAGAGGACAGTGCTGCCAGACACGCAGCCGCCGATGTGGCCAGACTGGAAAGGATAAAAACCGTTAGATTACAGACGCTCAAAAGCAGCTGATTAAAGTTCAACAAACTCTAAGTTTACAGAGCAAAACAATTGCATTTAGTAATGTTTCGAATTCACTGCAATAAGTGCTTTCGACGCCGCAACGTTGAGCCAACGGTGATCTTCCACATGACTCAGTGCCAGCACGTCATTTGTGCCTCCTGTCTGAGCGAATCCTCGCCAGAAAAAAAGTGCCCAGTGTGCAAGCGAGATCTGCGAGCTCTTCCGATAGACAGGAATTTGCCTCCCAACGTGGCCAACTACTTCGAGGATCCGCTTCGATTCCGGCAGCTCTACCGCAAGGTCAGCAAGTTCCAGGCAGACCAACGGGCATCGGACAACCTGGGATTCTATCGCCAGATGCAGGCGCACGAGAAGAACGAGCGCCGCCTGAAGGGCTTCTGCAAGATGGAGGCGCAGTTCAACCAGCAGATCCAAAAGGAGAAGGAACGGATCGCCGAGCTACGCGCCTACATAAAGTACCACGAGGAGGAAGGCCTCAAGAAGCAGCCAGATGTCTCCGGAGTTGAGAAGCCCTGGAGCTACATGGCACGTCACCTCCGCCCACGGACACCCTCTATAAGCACATCGGATAATACCCAGTCGGATGAGCACATGAAGACCTTCTGTCTGGACTCGGACATGGATTGCCTTGCGGAAGTCGAATCCAACCGATCCGACAAAAAAACCTTTGACGGGCTTATCAAAGATTTTAAAATTTAATCGCATCTTCCACAAAACTAGATTTGTATGTAAGATCAGTACAGTGTAAGACATTTTTATGTTTTAAGTGCTTACGAACTTTAAGCAAAGATCTTAGCATTAATTTTAATCCAGTATACGCAATCTATACGCTAATCTTAAAGTGGACTTCGCAATCATCTCGAGCTGTGGAAAATTTCGCGGGATAAGAGATCAAGATCGAATGTGTTGCTTGGAGGTCTAGGACAAGTGGATTCCCGCTTTGGATTATTTACCTTTATGGCCCACCGATACGAGATGAATGTCACGCTTTCTTTGTGGCCCCCAAGCTGCTCGAAATCCAGCGAGATTACGAGAATGGCAATTGTGAAATCTTAATCAGATAATTGGGTACAAATTTAACAGCGGCAATCGTTCTGATAATTGTTGCCAAGAATGATTTGCGGTCGAAATGTGGGTGGGTGGGGGTTTCGGTGGCTATCACTGCGAGTGCACCATCGCCAATTGCGCCTTGCAAAGAGAGCGCTCGATGGGAAGTGGGTGGTTGGGCGCTAGAAAGGGGAGCTGCTGGGGGCGGGCGAAAGGGTTTGTGCCGGAGTAAACAACACTATTGACGCCCGGTGACGTCAATCGACGACCGATGACCCAGGGCAGCCTCCCAGTGTGAGTTAGCACGTGGATGATAGGCGGAAGTCTAGCAATTTGCATTCCACAGAAGGCCAACTGGACAAGGGGCATTGTGAGTCATGGCCAATGGAGCAACCACCTGTTGTGCGATCGAAGCCAAAACAAAACATAACTACAGTGGAACATCTACAAAGGAATCCATGTATGCATAGCTAACTGCATTAAATCGCATTCGAAATAAAAGTTAGTTTTATCGCTTTGTGGCACTGATAGGATGTTGATGTTGATGTTGATTCAAGCAATGGCAATACAAATTATTTCTTATCAAGAAAGATAAGAATTATAGGAGTATAAGTAAAAATAGAGAAAGCAGAAAATAGCAGTTCATCAAAATTTTTTAAAAAAATATTTTATCAGCTAATCAGAATCATAAGTGTGCACTCAAATTTAATCCTAATCTTTAAAAAATATAAAAATAATTGATTTGTTGTTCATAAATTTGGTCTTTGAACTTTGAGGAGAGCAATCCATTTTTTCACGCCATTAGTATGCAATTAAGTTTAAGGTTTAGTATGCAATTAAAGTTTAAGCCAAAACAACAGCCCATATAGGATAAGAATGAATCCCCAATTGACGACCCACCGAAACTGGGGGAAACTTTTGAGTTAGGCAGGTTCCACTGTGCTTCATTTAGCATGCATTGGATAACTTGCGAGTGCGCCTCTAAAAATAACGGCGCTTCTTCCTCGCCAGCGTTACTTGAACTTGGAGGTTGGGGGCGATACCCACACAGCACACTCCATACACACTATTCACAGCACTTGCGATATGTACAGATAGGCTCGGCTCGGCTTATGGGATTTATTTGGCTTCCATCTGCGCCCATTTGCACTCACCTCGTCTTGGCGAATATGTAGTAGACAATAAGGGCAACTGATGCAATCTCGATGCCGCCGAGCAAAGAAATCTCGGCGACGCGCTGGGCAAAGTTCAGGACGGTCGTCAACATGTTGATGGTGGTGGCTCGGCGATGATTATGCTGCGACCTGGACCCCGGCACTGGATCGGATCGAATGGGCTGGGCAGCAGTGGCACGGTACTACTAGTCAGTGGGATGGGTACACTGATGCTCCGGCATCAGCCGGCGGGCTAGTGATCGGAAGTGGTCTCGGAAACGTACCGACCCCGACGATTAAACGCGACTAATCAGACGCGAGAGCGACCCTTTTGGTGGCAGCGGCCACTACAACTGCACTGCCATCCACTGTGGTGGCAAAAAAATATATGAAAAATGGTGGAGAAGATGGAGATGATGGCCGCGCATCGAAACGCTCCGCTCCAGCGTTCTCTCTTCGTGCTGGCGATGCCGCTCTCGCTCTTCTGGCCGATCGGTGGTGGCTATATGGTATTGCGTTCTACCCAATATAACCAGACATCGGTAGCGATCCGCACATAGAAAATATCGTATGATCCGAGGTTTGAGATTTTGCGCGAGATAGCATCTACACTTTTTTGGCCAGCCCAGCTATAATCGCACAGCTACAAAGTGGGTTTGAAACCGGTTTACTGCTATAAAGCCGTCGCGCAATTACATCGGTTAATTGAATCAAATATATATCCTTTATTCTGGCGCAGCCGTCCGCCTTTGTTTCCCTTTCCTTTTATTCGCCGCACCACAGAGGGATTCTGCTCACTCGGTTGTATTCGCGCGATACGAAGAACCGCGCCAGTCGACCGTTCGCAGTGGAATAAGAGCGGCGACTACGCTCGACGTTTAATTAAATGCCAATTAACGTGTGACAATAAGTGTATGTGCGACCCATGGATGTGCGAACGTGTACGAAGACCAAGATCGGCGGCAGCACGACGATAACGAAAGCTACAGCCGCCACATCTGCTGTTATCAGCACGAGCGGGCGTAGTAGTGTGAGGTATGGTCTGGTGAATGATAAGGGAGGATCGGATCGCTGCCTCGGCAAGTGACCAAAAAGAGAGCCAACTAAATGTGCCTAAGACTAAGAGTTTAATGAGCATTACTGTCGCACTCTATGTATTATGAATAAAATTCATACAACGTTTGTGGTTTATTATAATATAAAAGTGTGTCAGCTCTACTCTGGGGAAAGTAAGTTTACTTCTTGGCCGCTGGCTTCTTGGCGGCGACCTTCTTCTTGCGGGCGGCCAGCAGCTTGGCGCGATTGGCCGCAGCCTTGGTGGCCACATTGGCGAAGTGGGACTTGGCCAGCTCGACGTTCTGCTTCTTGGCCTTGGCCAGCACCTTGGCCACGGTGCGCTTCTCGGCGGCGAGGGCGGCACGACGCTTGAGGACCTCGGCGTATGGGTTCAGCTTGATCAACTGGCGCACGTTGGACAGGGGGTTCAGGCGGCGCACGCTGCGGAACACACGCTTGCGTGGATCGCGCAACACCTTGCGGATCTCCTCGGACTTGAGCAGACGCGACAGATCGGTGTTGGCCATCTTGGGCTGGGGCAGGTTGTAGCCCTTCTTCAAGGTGGATGGCTTCTTCCAGGTGCCGAACAGATCATTCAGGCGGGCGAAGGCCGACTCGGTCCAGATGACGAAGCGACCGACATGACCGCCGGGGGCCAGCTTCAGCAGATTGAGCTTGTCCACGTTGATGGTCTCAATGCCGGGGATGTTGCGGAAGGCCTTGCGCAGACCCTCATCCTTGTCGTAGACCACCAGGGGACCACGGCGAGCGATGCGGCGACGGTCGCGCATGGTACCACGTCCAGCACGGAAACGCTGCGACTTGTACACCTGCGGAATGAATACGAAATAAGTTAATGGTGAGCAATTTTCAGGAATTAGGGAACAGAATTCTTAGCATATCTACGCAATCTATCTAAAAGAACAATTTGATACTCATAAATGTTTTTAATGGGTAAAAGATGTAGCTTTTCTGTTACCACGATGGAAGCCGTAAAACAAGTTTCAATCGTAACGCCTAGAAGAGCATTTTATCTGGCAACGCAGGAGATCCTTGCAAGCTTCTGACCACCAGTAGAGTAGTCAGTTGCTTACACACTGCCGAGTTAGATCTAACCATCCAAAATGTAGGAAAGCTAATAAAAAGATAGTATGTAACATTCAACCATCACAACTCCAGACAAAAACGTTGAAACACGCTGGTTTGACAAATTGCCAAGGCAATATACACAAGGTTAATGGGTATAAACTTTCACTAAGTGGCCTAACATTCTTCAGATCTCTAAAACGTGTCTAAGGTTACCCACCTTCTGGATGTCAGCCCAGATCTTCAGGCGACGCAGGAAGATGACAGCCTGCTTGGTCTTCTGGACCTTCTGCACCTCATCGGACACGACCAGGGGGAACTCGGAGACGCCGTCGATGACATGGCCCTTGGACTGGACCAGAGCGGGCACTCCGGAGGCGGCGATGGCCGACACCAGGGCGTAGCGACGCTGGTTGACATTCACCTTGCGGTGCCAGCGACGGAAGGTCTTGGTGGGGGCGAACATGCGTCCACCACGGCACATGTTGCCGAAGGCACCCTGGCCGGAACGGTGAGTACCGCCACCTCGCACACGGGGAATACGGGCCACAGCGCGTCCGGTACCCCAGGATTCGGCGGAGGTCTGGTGACCTGCAAATAGGAATTCAAACGGGTTAGACTAACACAAAAGAGGAGTTATTCACAGATTACTCACCAGCCAGCTCGCTGACGGCGTAGGCCTGTCGGTTGTTGCGGCGGAGCAGCTGGTGAACCTCGTTGACCACATCCGGACGGATGGGCGCCTTGAACACTGCCGGCAGGCAGATGTTCTTGTCCTTGGCTGGCTCGTTCTTTTCCGTGTACACGGAGACCAATGGCCTGGCGTTGCCTAAGCTCTGAAATTAGATATGGCATTCGGGTTTAGTTCACTGCTCACTGATCTCAAAACACAACAACCGCATTTCGCCACCGCCGCACATTCCAAACACGTGGAGGTTAGGACGACACTTTTACACTATTTTCGCATCCTTTCGTGTGTTAAATTCAATGCTTTGACGTCAGCGGCGGTTGCGGAGTGCTTTGGGCGTCGTTTCTCACCATTTTCGTTGATTTTCAAACCCAATGAAAGGTGTTAAATATTCTGCAAACGCAGATACCGTCCTCTTTTTATTAAGAAGAACGAAGAAAGAAAGAGAGCTGCCGGAAATGGCCGCCAATCGCGTTCCACGGCGCAGGGTTGCATTCGCTAACAGCGGCAAATGTCAAGTTAACAGGGTGCCTTTGACGTTGTCTAACACATTTAGCGATATTTATCTCTGTAAGAAAAGTTTTTGTTTAAATACTCGTAATTGTTTGAACTCTATTAGCAACATAAATATTGATGCTATTATTAAGTTGTACTTAATTTAGTTTACTGATTTAGTAGCATTTAATTTTAAAAGAACAAAAATATAATCTTTGTAATTCAACCGCATCATATCTAAATCAAACAAGACTAGATACTATATTAAAAAATTATTTAAAAAAAGAACTTAACCAATATTTGTTGCTAAATTAATATTACTTATTTTGTTGCTTAAACTTGTATGTAAGAGTAATATAAAAACTTTTTGTTGCTTATGAGTAACAGAATTCTGTTACCAAACATTTCACTTTATTAAAGCTATAAAATAGCTAAACCTGTACCACTATAGCGAAACGGAGATTGTTTTTGTTTGCCCCTTGTAAAATTAATAATAAATAATTGAAGTTATCTCCAATAATGCTAAGGCTGGGTAATTTAGCGGCATAATTAAATATGTAGATCCCTGGACAATGTTTGAAGTGGTCTAGTAAAATATTTGGTGGAATATATAGGCTGAATATTTTATGTTATGTTATGTTATATGTTATTTATATGTATTTAATCATTTGGTCGGAAGGAGATACGGGAAGATCGCAAAATAGATGGTATCAGTAGGTGGCTCACTCATCCAAATTTAATTAGATTGCACCTTGAGGAACTTAAACCTACAGATATCAAAATAATAATCAAACTAATAAGCATCCCACATCTTATTCAGCTGTTCCAGTACAACACTGCTAGCCAACACTTTCCAGCCCTGGAAAACTACCAAACATCTAGCATTTCTCTAAACACGAAAACATAAACGCTCAATCACACAATATACATTTTCTACATCAAATTAAAATAAACCTATACATCTTTCCAACTTTAAGTCCTTGTCGATATTTGGGCAACAATTTCCACGACCCTTACCGGTGTTGTGGTAGCCTAAACAAGAAACAAAAATAAATAAATAAAAAATAAATAATGGCTGGCGAGGTTATTGTGGATGCTTTGCCCTACATAGACCACGGATACGATGATGTGGGCGTCCGGGAATCGGTAAATATACGGAAATCCACGTTACGCGCTGAAACACATATTTAATGGCATGTTATTCTTTCCAAGGCGCTCGCCATGGTGGAGGAGGAATGCCGGCGCTATCGGCCCACCAAAAACTATCTGGACCATCTGCCACTGCCCGCCAGCTCGCCCTTCGAGACTCCACTGATGGTAAACGAGTTCGAGCGCATTCAGAACCGCCTGCCCATGGAGACGCTCTCCATGAAGCGCTACGAACTGCCCCCGCCGCCATCTGGCAAACTATCCGAGGTCTCCGCCTGGCAGGAGTCCATCGAGAACTCCATGGCCCAGCTGGAGCACCAGTGGGTGCGCTCCCTCAACCTGGAACTGATGCTCGACTACGGCACGGAGGCATGGAAGTCCTACCTGGAGGTCTTCACCGCCATGCAGGCGAAGGCCCAGCTGCAGCTGCAGCAGCTGAAGAAGGATATCCAGGACGTCAACTGGCAGCGAAAGCAGGCTCAAACGCAGGCCGGCGAGAGATTGCGCTCCCTGGAGGCCCACTGGGTGCTGCTCGTCTCCAAGAACTACGAGATTGAAACGGAGTGCGTCGAGCTGGAGAAGCTCGTCCAAGCCGCCCGCCAGCATCTGCAGAGCATTGTCCCGCCAGCCAGCGCTAATGACACGGCTCCCACGCCGGAGCACACGAATGGATTCGACCAGGACGACTTCGCCGAGAGCAACGGCAGTAGTTCCAGCAATTCGGAGCAACCAGGCGAAGATGGTGCAGATGCCGATGGTGACAGCAAGGAGGAGGACAAACGCGAGGACCAGGAGGAATCGTCCAATGAGTCAACGTAAAATTAGCAGGCTAAGCGAGTCCATGAAACAAGTTAAAGGAAAATTTACGACTGTAACTAAATACAAAAGATAAAAAAAGAATACAACTGATATAAAAAATCATTTTTCAAAAACGGTGCAAAGAAATAGTAATTTCTTTTCTTATTGTTCGTATTTTAAGGATATAGACTCCTACTATCTTTAAAATAATTATAAAATTAAATATTTTAACATAAATATTTCGATTTGGTGTGGCAGTGATTTCTGATGGTTTTTTTTTACACGCAGAATGGGATTTTTCAATGTTGCTGCCACGGTCACACCAATTGGATGTTTACAATTTTTGGTCGTGAATTAAATAAAAGGAAATATATAGACAATATAGAAAACAGGAAGGATGGCCCACTACAAAGGTGCCGCCAGCGAGGCGGGCCGTGCCGCCCAGCTGATGAAGAAGCGGGAGATCCAGCAGCAGGAGATCGAATTCCGCAAGAAGAAGATCGGGGAGGAGCTGAAGCTGGAAAAGATCGAGAACAAGTTTGCCACCCACTACGATGCCGTGGAGCAGCAGCTTAAGTCCTCGACCATTGGCCTGGTCACCCTGGACGAGATGAAGGCCAAGCAGCAGGATATAGTGCGGGAACGGGAGAAGAAGCTCGCCCAAAAGAAGGACGAAAAGGATCGGGAAAAGCAGCGCGCCCTGGAGGCCATTCAGGCGGAGAAGAACAAGCAGAAGCGACAGATTCAGGCGCTCTCCTTTAACCTGGACGAAGACGAGGAGGAGGAGGACGACGAGGATCGGGACGACGAGCAGCTGAAGATTAAGCAGGAGGAGAAGACCAAGCCCAAGTGGACGGAGATCAAGGAAGAAATACTGCCCATAAAGAAAAAGAAAATATGCAAGAATCCCGACGTGGACACCTCCTTCCTGCCAGATCGCGAACGCGAGGAGCACGAGAACAGACTGCGCGAGCAGCTGCGTCAGGAATGGGTCATGCAGCAGGCGGAACTGAAGGACGAGGACATCTCCATCACGTTCAGCTACTGGGATGGCTCCGGCCACCGGCGCAGTGCCCTGATGAAGAAGGGCAACTCCATCTACCAGTTTTTGCAAAAGTGCCTGGAGCTGCTGCGCAAGGAGTTCATCGAACTCAAGACCGTAATGGCCGACCAACTGATGTACGTCAAGGAGGATCTGATCCTGCCGCACCACTACTCCTTCTACGACTTCATCGTGACCAAGGCTCGCGGCAAATCCGGCCCCCTCTTCCAGTTCGACGTGCACGACGATGTGCGCATGATCAGCGACGCCTCCGTGGAGAAGGAGGAGTCCCATGCGGGAAAGGTGCTCCTCCGCTCCTGGTACGAGCGCAACAAGCACATCTTCCCGGCCAGCCGATGGGAGCCCTACGATCCCACCAAGTCCTACGACAAGTACACCATCAAGGACAAGGATAAGAGCAAAAATTAGTCCTTTAATATTGTACAATATATCGATTGATTTAATACATCTCAACAAAAAATAACAATATTTGGTTTATTCCACCAGATTTACAGTCAGTTTAATAAACAAATTTTTATAAGATAAATAAAATGACATGAGTTGACACTCCAATGAAACATCAAAAATAATTGCAATTGATTTAAAAATGCAGGAATAGTTTATGTTTCTTCTTTTGGAATACCCCTAATTTTTTAAAAAATTTCAAATAGCTAAGAGTGAATGACACTGTTAGCATTTTATGTTACGGCTAACAAAACCTGTTGCTGAACAAGCTTCAGCACAAATTTTTGCTTAGCTTATATAAACCTTCAGAATTATTAATTATTTGTTTCGTTTGCCATGAAAAAAAAACGTTTACATTTTGTGTACTGAATATACCGAAAAGAAATAAATAAAAAAGAGTCAGATATGGCGGGACAAAAGTCAACTCGCCAGCACTAATAGCAACACAGAATTTTTTGCGCCCGCAAACTCCGCGTTTTTTTTTATAAACACTAAGCGTTAAATAGTGCGTTGGCTAAATAAAGATACAATTAAAATGTGAATTCCTACGTGGAATAGCTATCGATCCGCGGAACATTTAATGCCATTTGTTAATCCGAGCAGCGAAATGGATCCGGCGCACCCGGCAAAGGTGGCGCATGTCGGTAAAGCGGTGCCCGTCGGAAAACATATACACCCCGGCCCCGTCCGCCTGAAGCCCATCTCAGTGCCCGTCTTCGAGCTGCCGGAGTACCTGTGCGTGGAGACCAAGTGGGTGACACGCAAGTATGCGATGGAGAATGGCTTTTCACTGGACGGACTGCATGGCCCCATCACCAATGGTATCACCACGGAAGTCCCCAAGAAATCCACACAGCAGGAGAAACTCAGCGAGGTCACTGGGATATTAACAAGCGAGGAGCCAGCTCCGAGCAGAGAACGCGCCATTCAAACGGAAGATAAGGGCACTAAGGACGTGGGCATTCAGTGCCGTCGCGATTCAGAGGAGTGGCATCTTCCAGATGATCGGCCCAAGGATACCACTTCTGAAGCTTCCGACTCCGACGATTTCCTCACCTACGTCAGCGAGAACACGAGCATGTTTCCCAACGGCATGTTGGAGTGCATAATGTGCGGCGATATAGCCAACACCTTGCTGGAACATCAGGCCCATATGACGGTGCACTTTGGATCTGGTGCTCTGTGCTTTAACTGCGGCCACCGTCTGGAGCACAAGAACCTATTGAAGCGTCACAGACTGAGCTGTCCCGCTCTGGCGCCCAGAAAGTCATCCATGCGCTTTAAATGCCCACACCCACTTTGCAATGCCATGAGCCACTCGGAGATGCAGTTGCTCCAGCACCTGAAGAAACACAGCGCCAGGAAGTGCTACAGATGTCTCCAGTGCAAACGTTACTTTAACACCACGACCTCCTTTTTGTTACATCAGAAAATAGAACAGAATTGTACTAAGGCGAAAGCTGTTGCCCTCTTAAAAAGACACAATCGGCTGCCCAAGGGTAGAGGTGATCCCAGACGTTGCTCAGTTTGTTTGAAGCGTTTTAGCAGCGAGAGGGTATGCCTGCGGCACCGGAGACAGTGCATCCTCGACCATTGCAGACGACTGTCTAAGGTCCTATTAAAGGATTTATGAACAGCGTATACAAATCTTGACCTAGTTGGTATTTATTAGTTGATAGAAATCGATAACAATAAAGCGAAAAGATCCTACGAGGCCTGAATGCAGTGAGCCTTCTTCAATCCCTGGAACAGCAACAGTTTCTCCCGGTTAACTTCTTTAAGCGTCTGCACCGCCAGCTCCAGTTGCACCTTCTTTAGCGAATGTTCGCTGGCAATGTACTGCTCAATGAACTTCAGACTGATCTCATCGGCGGCGAAATCGGGCTCCGTCTTGCCAATGGCCGTGTGGATCTCCTCCTCAATGTTCTGCTTATCAGCCTGTCGCCGGAAGACGCTCCTTAGCTCCGCCAGAGCACTTTCCGCTGGAGTGGGATGCAGTTTGTCCAGTTCAGTCAGTGTTGCCTGATATTCCACTGGGATGTTGTGCAGCTTATAGCTCAGGGCAATCAATTCCACGGCATTGTGCAGATAATCTCGACGGATCATGTCGTACAGCAGATCGTCTATGCAACGGTGCCAGGCATAGAAGAAGGCCATGGGTCCAAAGTGGCGGGTGGAGCGCAGAAGATCAAACTGCTTGGACTCGTTGAGGTGCTCGAATACGCGCGCTGAAATGTTGTGGAACTCTGGCTCATGTGGTTCGTACTGCACCAAGAGGCGATCCAGGATGAACTCGTACTTGTGCTCCGTCAGGCACTTGGCCAGCAGCTCCTCCAGCGCGAACATGCGGGGAGTATATGACTGGCGACCCTCTAGCGGGAAATACAACTGGTTCATGCGCTTGGTGGTGTCCAGAGTCGCGTAGGCCAAAGTTCCGTCCGTCTCCCGGACAAATACTTTGCGCTCCGACTGCCGTCGTCCGAAGGTGATATCAGTGAATACGAACTTGGAGTTGGCGAAGTCCTTCAGCGCCGGATCCTTGGCTATCACTCGCTCCACATCCTTTTTGATCTGCACAATGGGTGGCATTTGGAGCATGTGCTGAGCCCGCACCACCAAGTCTTGGAACTCGTTGTCCAGCTGCTCGTTGCTCATGAACTTCGTCTCGCTGCTGTTGTCCGGTACCGTGCGCTTCCGATACACCTTGTCCAAGTTCAGTTGCGTCATGGACTGGAGCAGCCGCTGGGTTTCGGCATCCGTGAAGAGCGGCTGCGGATCCCGCTCGTACTGCAGGGCGGAGGGCTTGGTGGGCGCCGTGGACACCTGGCGGATGGCTTTACGCACTCCTTGAAGGCCATTCAGCTGGCGAAGGCTTCGCAGCAAGTGCATTTTCAGTTAGAAAATCCGGCACAAAAATACACGAGACGGGTTCAGAAATTAGTGATGGCAGCACACTGTTTTCCAGCACTGCTTGCTAGTGATGACAGCTATTAACTATTAATAATTATTAATAGTTAATTAAATGTAATGTATTTATTTTCTTTGATTAGTATATATAGTATATTGGAATAGATATATAATATGCTTTTTTAACTACTTTCATTAGCAAAATATGAAACTTTATTGTCTATATAGAAAAATCAATCATCAAAATCAACCAACTACTGATATTATTTCCATTTCACCGGCTGACTAGTAAATAATATCCATTATTTATTACTTTCATTAGCAAAATAGAATACATTACTATATACATAGGTATATATTCATTATTAGCTGCTTCCCATTTCACAATTGTATAACTATGAGCAATAGCAGCTCGCTACCGCTTGCTTTCAGTGATAGGAGCAATTGCCTTTTGTGCCAAATTAAAATAAATAATAAATAAAAACTTCTACATCTATAAATTGAATCGGACAATAGGAAATCCCGAGAAATTTGAAAAACAACAGTTAGGGAAGCCAGTGGTCTTACCTTCGCCAAACGAATACCTCTACCATCGGCTTATCTCCTGATCTGGCTGCGGTCACACTGGCTACTTGCATTTTAGCTGGAAAAAAAGCTGCAGGCGAAAATTGGCAATAAAGTGCAGGAGCAGCCCAAGCATGGAACAGGCTGAAGTGGGCAGTGTGTGCCTTGCAGCGCATAAGCGCCGCTTCCCGGCCAGCGAGTGTTGTGGACGGGAGCAGGCCGCCACGCCCCCACAGCCACCGCTACCGCAAATCCCGGCCGAAGAGGAGCCGCAGATGAAACAGCGCAAAAAGGAGCAAGAGCAGGAGGAGAATCTCGTCCAGGACACGGAGCGTAGCCTCCTGGACTTCTGCGATGAGCTGCTCATCGAGATCTTCCAGTACCTGGACACGTCCTCCATTATGGCGGTTATGCAGTAAGTAGCCCGCTATCAGCTGCGTTGCAGAAATCTTTAGGTCGATGACATGTCTACATATGTTCTCTGCCTATAAAGATTCCGTAATATAATATTCCGTAATATCGTAGTTGCTCGCCGCGCTTGGAAAATCTACTTCTGGACCATCGCTTCTACCACCACATAGACCTTAGCAACGGGCCATTACCCATGGGTATCCTAGAAGAGATTCTTGGACGAGCCACCGAAAAGACACACACCATCAAAATCTGCGGTCCGCCATCCTCGCAGCATGTAGCCGGCGAGTTCCGCCAGTTCACCCAAACCCTAAGCTCCGTTTTTCCCAAGGTTGTCCAGCTAAAAGTGTTGGAGCTGCAGGGCGTTAGCTTGGACTTCGAATACGTCAGTGCTTGCATTTCTCGAGTCACCTGAGAGTATCTCAATGTTTATGTTCTTTCAGATACACATATCCGAATTCCCGTCCACGCTGACGCGTCTGAAGCTGAAGGACTGCAGCGTTAAGGTTGGCAACTCGCCCAAGAGCATATTCCACTCTATAGAGCTCCATCTGGTGCATTTAGAGGTGAGTTTGTGTTAAACGGAATGATGAGAGATGCAGTCCAATTAATAAAATACCGCTGTTTTATTTAGGATCTCAGTATTGAGGACAACAGCTGGTTCGAGCCGTATTATATTATGGTCCTGTCGAAGCTGCCTTCACTGCGTCGTCTTAGTCTCAAGGGCTGTCAGACGCTGTGCAAGTTTGTGCCCTATGGCAGCATGGCGGCTCGTTTCGGTTTCCAAAAACTAGAGGTTGGCATTTATTTCATAAACGAATATTATTCAAAAAGACTTATTTATTTCAGTCACTAGATCTTCGCCTGACGCCCATCAACAATTCAGATTTGCAGTGTTTCAGCGCTATTGAGAATCTAAAGGAACTGTTGCTTGAGTCGCCGCAGATCCTGCCCTCCAAACAAGCCGTAGCTGAAAAAACCACTAACGGCAACGCCACTGACGAAGCTGCTTCCCCGCAGCCTGATTCCATGAAAGTGCTTAACGATGACGAGCCGTCCACATCGCGTGCCGCTATGGAGCACCTGCGTGCATGCAAGATTGCGTTCAATTTGGACAACTGCAACGAGAGAAAGGAGGAGCAGTCGCCGGTGCCAGTAGAGCCTCTTTCCAATAGCCAGGATCTCCAGGTCAAACGAATCCGAGCACCATCAGAATCCGAGGATGATGACACATCATCCACATCGGCCACCTCAGCTTCCTCGTCAGACAAGTCCGAGGTTTCATCGCCGCCCAGCAATGGCCATAACGGCGCTGCACCCTTGAGCTCACCAGTTTTGGTAATTGCATTGCGAGGCATGGGCGCCGATATGCCGCCACGTCCGCCTGCAGCTGATGGAGACAATCCCGAGGATCCCGGGCAGGATCCCGGATTGGATCCCAGGCCGACGCCGCGCGCTTACATATATATGCCCGACGCTATTGAGACCTCGCAACAACAGCGAAATATTGTGGCTGTAATTGAACAGAGAGCGCAGCAACTTGGTCGCATGCGCGGAAACAATCCCGCTTGCAGCCATTTTCTACCGCGACGCGACCATGTTATCTATCAGCAACGCTCACCCGCGATGAATGTTCTTATGCCGACGCGACGCTATCGTACGCATCCGCGTCCGAACTACGATCAGGTGGTACAGCATCCGATGTTTTGGAACATGCTTGACCCGCTGGATCGTGACTATGCTCGTCGATTGCGCCACCGTCCGACGGCCTGTCAGACATCACCTCAATACTATGTCACTGACCGGGCGATGTACAGCTTTGGCCGAGCATCGCGACCGGTGCAACCGGACGTGGTCTGGATCCGGAACATCAACCGCTCGCCAGACAACAGACTGGAGCGACTGTCGTTGCGAAACTACCATCTAATCACGAATCATACCCTGGAGCATCTGGTGCAGTGTTCCCCGAATCTGGTGTACATTGATGTGAGTGGCACAAGCATCACGCTGCCGGCGATTCGGCGCTTCAAAAACTCCAAACCGGAGTGCGAAGTGGTTGCCGACCACTTGGAGGAGTATGAAAAGCTTGCAGATCAGGAGCCACAGGAAGAGGATGCGACAGTGGTGCTGCCTAGCCAGGAGGATCCGCAGCACGATCAGCAACCACCGAAATCGCCACCGCCCTCGCAAGAGTTGGTGGCTCCTTAGAATACTGTTTGTAAAGATTTCGTCGAAGTGGGCCGTGCTGGATTAATTTTTATAGAAAGAAGACGACATGGCCAAGCCGATGAATCCACAACGCTGGCTACAAGCGAGTGCTGTAGCTCAGCCACCTAGCATTACGTTCCAAACTAATCGAGCCCTTGTAATATACGCCAGCAAAACGCACTGTATAAATCCAAGAAACCCAGAATCACAATTCAATTCCTGTAGCTAGACATTAAAGAACGCGCGATCATTTTGGTAAATATGTATAATGAAATGCTTATTTGGTAGGTTTGTAGCATGTAAGGACAGGCCAATAATTGGTTGTTCGGTGTGTCGTGTTAAAAATGTATATATATTATAAAAACGGTGTAAAACTGAGAACAGGCTTCATGATTACTTGTCGTTGCCATTGGACGATTCCTCCTCGGCATCCGACTCGTCCTCGGTGTCGTCCGACTCTGTCTCGGATCCGCTGGAGCTCTGGCAGTCGGCTATCTCGCCGGTGAAGAAGATGACCGCCTTGGGAATCACGCGCTCCTTTAGGTAGAAGCCAAGCTCAAAATCGTTTTGCAGTATGGCCTGTGGGAGATGCATGTAGGTTGCTTCTGGAAAACATATACCCAAACTCCAATCTTACATTGACATCACAGTAGTTGGCATCCTCGATGTCGTCCGGCAGAAGGGGCGGCGAGAAAAAGTCAAAGAACGTCGGCTCTTCGAGATGATTTTCTGGTCAATGAGTTGATTCATCTAACTATGGATATCACTTTTCAGTTAGCTTACCATTCTTCGCCTGATCCTTGCTCTGCTTCCAGTTGATGACGCAGCCCTCGCACTTGAAAATCTCGGCGCCATCGTATGCAAGCGGATCTTCCGGATCCGGTAGACAGTTTAGGAAATAGGTCTTGGTTAGCACCGTGTTGGTGAAGTGATCATTGGGATCGAAGTGGAACTCGATGTCAAACTTCACCACCGGATCGTTGTACAGCCGAGAACGGATGTCGCACAAGCACTGCGGTAAAAATCAAAATCCGTAGGTGAGCACTACATTATATTGACGACTTACCTCTAATATTTTCTCATCCTTCTTGCTGATGAACTCTGTGTACGATGCCTTGAGAACCTTCAACCAAAAGTTGGGAACGCTCTGACTGGACTCGGTGTCACCGTGGTTCTGCTTTCTAAACTCACTGTGGGTTGGGGATTTGGGAATTAGACCCGTTCTACCAGTATCTTTTGTGACTTACTCTAGAATCTTCTTGCGCTTGTCGAAAACGATGTTGTGCTTATCCTCGTACTTCTTTTCCATGTTGTAAATGTCGCGTTGCAGAGCCACATCGAGGTTTATGGTCTCCAAGTAGAGCTGCTTCAGGTCGGTTATGGTTTTCTTCTCATTCTCGGTGAACTTGAGATCCGTCTATGTAAATACAGATCTGAATGTCGACCAAAATCATGCAAAACTAATGGCTTACAGTCGATTCCGGCTTTGGTGGAGCGGTGTATTTCACCCGGGGAGGGTTCCTGTTTCGCACAGTTTCCATTTATGGATCGACAAGAGTTCAGATGAAAAGTAAAAAAAAAAATTCTTTGGAGCGATTTTTTTCAAGTTTAAAATTTGGTTGGGTGCGTTTTCGATGTGACTGCCGCCTTGGGAATGAAAAGTAGTTCTCTGAGTTTCCCAAAACTGCCAGCACAAAAAGCAAGGCCCACTTTTCACAAAAGTTCCGGATCTCACTAGATGTAGCAGTTACCTTAGGGAAAATTCGAAGTACCTCGATATTTAACCTCTATGTGAAATAACCCAATTGGTATCCCCGCTTTTTGCCAAGTGCACAAGTCTTATGGCATATTGTTATTGCTTTAAGAACCCTTTCGCTTTATTTAGGCCATTGAGATGCAGGCCATGTTTATTGGCAATTTAACGCACATTTAATTCCTGCTGTTTTCCTGTTTATATATTTTTGGTTTCCCCAATTTTTTGTTTGCTTCCGCCAACTTTTCATTTGGCATGTAATTAAGTGTGGGCCAGATGTTTGGCCTGGGTGGTGCTGGCCTAAGTGTATGCAAATCACGTGCTGAGTGCTGTGCCGCCAAGGGTTCAGGTTCAGCCATCGTCATCGCCATCGCCATCGCCATCGCCTCTTGGAGTCTGTTAAATGGACCGTGGACCCAGTTTCTGGGCTTTCGGAGAGTTCTCCGCCCGCGTTCGGTTGTCTTTTGTCGCTGGTTTTAATAATGTGGGCCAGGCTTAGTGCCATATGTCCGGCTGTGAAAAACAACAGAAACGTACAGCCGAAAAAAAAAGAGTGAAATTGTCGCTTAAGCAAACATTTCAAAATGAAATTATGAGTGGGGCAGTGGCGGCGGGCGAAAAAAAGTGTAAACAAATTTAGCCAAGCGGAAGTCCAGACACACACTCTCTCCACACACACACACACACAAACATCCACCAAGGGAAAGCCGCAGAGGAAAAGCGGGAAAATGGGGGATCGCATTGTTGTGCGCTGTTGAATGTTTGCTCACAAATACACATGGCACATGCCACATGTACGCATGCACTTGTCCAGTCTCCACAGGACATCCAGCCACCACGACCACCACTCGCTGCACTCATATTTGATATTATTAAATTTTTTCCCTAAATACCGCTGGGAAATTAAAAAGAAATCATAACGCAAATAGTGTAAGGCAGCCATCTGATGATGACGGCTCTGGCTGGCCAATTTCCAGATTTATACGAGTGTATGCTTACACGGCGCGAAATAATTACTCGTTGAAAAGTATGTAACAGGCAGAAGCAAACGTTTCCGACCATATAAAGTATATATATTCTTGATCAGGATCAATAGCCGATTCGATCTGGCCATGTCCGTCTGTCTGTCCGTATGAACGCCTCGATCTCAGGAACTACAAAAGCTGAATGTTGAGATTAGGCATGTAGCTTCCAGAGACGCAAGTTTATTTCCACACTTTAAAAAAATTGTGTGATATTTTTTCACTTTTAATATATTTTGTTATTTTCTATAGACTTGCCAAACAACTTTTTGCCACGCCCCTCTAACGACCACAAACCGCCTAAGAAAATCTTAGTAGAAATTCTTAGCAAATTAAGAAATGTTCCAAGGCTGAAGTTCTAAGCTCCATAACTCAACTTATCTTTATCGGATTTTGAAGTGGCATACCTCTAAATGTTTCTGGAGCAATTCTCTAAAAATCTGCATTCAAATTTAGAATTTTATTTTTTTTACATTTTTTTGTAATTTTTCTGATGTTATGATGTTATAGAAACTCAAAAATGTCCCAAGACTGAAGTTCAAAAGTTCATAACTCAACTTATCTTAATCGGATTTTGAAGTGGCATACCTCTAAATGTTTCTGGAGCAATTCTCTATAAAACTGCATTCAAATTTAGAAATTTATTTTTTTTACATTTTTTTGTAATTTTTCTGATGTTATGATGTTGTAGAAACTCAAAAATGTCCCAGGACTGAAGTTCAAAAGTCCATAACTCAACTTATCTTAATCGGATTTTGAAGTGGCATACCTCTAAATGTTTCTAGAGCAATTCTCTATAAAACTGCTTTCAAATTTAGAATTTTATTTTTTTTTAAATTTTTTTGTAATTTCTCTGATGTTATGATGTAGAAATTCAAAAGTGTGCCAAGACTGAAGTTCAAAAGTCCATAACTCAACTTATCTTAATCGGATTGTGAAGTGGCATACCTCTAAATGTTTTTGGAGCAATTCTCTATAAAACTGCATTCAAATTTAGAAATTTATTTTTTTTACATTTTTTTGTAATTTTTCTGATGTTATGATGTTGTAGAAACTCAAAAATGTCCCAAGACTGAAGTTCAAAAGTACATAACTCAACTTATCTTAATCGGATTTTGAAGTGGCATACCTCTAAATGTTTCTGGAGCAATTCTCTATAAAACTGCATTCAAATTTAGAAATTTATTTTTTTTACATTTTTTTGTAATTTTTCTGATGTTATGATGTTGTAGAAACTCAAAAATGTCCCAAGACTGAAATTCTAAAGTCCATAACTCAGCTTATCTTATTCGGATTTTGAAGTGGCATACCTCTAAATGTTTCTGGCGCAATTCTCTAAAAATCTGCATTCAAATTTGGAAATTCATTTTTTCAACATTTTTTTGTAATTTTTCTGATGTTATGATGTAAAGAAATTCAAAGCTGTCCCAAGACTGAAGTTCTAAGCTCCATAACTCAACTTATCTTAATCGGATTTTGAAGTGGCATACCTCTAAATGTTTCTGGCGCAATTCTCTAAATATCTGCATTCAAATTTAGAAATTTATTTGTTTTCAATTTTTTTGTCATTTTCATGAAATATGCAAGATAGTTTAAGGAGGCGATTGGTAATAAGGGCGCATTTATGTAGTAACCCTAATAAGATGGAAATGGATGTATGTATAAGAACTAATTCAGATTTTCAATCTCAAAGTGCTCTGACTCTTTAAGGTCATTTTCAATTTACATTTCGGTCATTCAATTAGGAGGTGCATAAAATTCAGCTACATAAGTAATGGAGCAGCCTCATCATCATCATCAGCAGCAGCAGCGTTTCGAGGAGTATGGTACCCCATGGCCATCACCCACGTGATTGCCGCTCGTCGGAGGTCGTCGCTGCCGGGAGCGTCAACATAGTTTGAATTTAATTAAAACCAAAATTAGTAGGGCCCAGAACAGAACGGTTTTGGGGCAGGGCAGCCCAACCAACCGGAGCAACAGTTACTTGGCGCAGGGATTAAAGCTCCTGGTGATGCCGCTGCAGCTCCTTCCTGGCGAAAGTGCATGTCTGCAGAAAATCGAATCAGGTGCTCAACATCCTCATCCGAGCTCCACGAGCCAGCCCCGCATCCTAGCATCCTAGCATCCCAGCATCCCAGCATCCCAGCATCCCAGCATCCCAGCATCCTAGCATCCTGAAACTCCTCCGTTTCCATCCATCCACCTGGTCCTGAAGCAGCGGCGCCATGCCGAAATATCTGCAACAAAAGCATAAGATGTAGTGCGGCATTTGATGATGAAACGACGTGTTAATTAAGGTCATAATAATTCAACTTAAATTGAAAACTTGCCCCGTCCCAGCCAAAACGCAGCCATGGCAAGGCAGTGCCCATTTTTGGGTGGTTGGGCATCGGGCATCGGGCGAAGGGCATCGCATCCTCGGAATCCTGGCCAGGCTAAGCTGATTGCAACAAATTATTTTGCACCTTGGTTGAACTTTCCTTGAGCTGCAGACAGCATGGCGTTGATAAACGAATTTTGTTAGTTTGCTTTGCTTATTTTAAATGGAACTAGGTGGTGGCCAGGAGTGGCAGGATGCGCGAGTGGGCTGGCGAGTGCTGGATGCTGGTGTTCCGAGGGACAGGGGCCACTGTTGCCTTTGGTTTTGCATAAACCAGACAACGCATCTAATAAGTTGCAGCTGTCGGTTGCCACCGTCTCCCTGCTTTTCACTTGGCCAAAGAAGTTTAAAGTTTTTACTGGGCCCCGCCTAATGCCTCAAAGTGCAGAGCTGTGTTTGCCATTAAATGATATTAGTTAAATGATAATTAACAGTTGGAAAACTTGCGAAATATCTCCGACTAATTTGCATAGCCAACTAATTGGCTTAGAGGGTCATTGCTTTTCCTATTTTTCGGCGAAATATCCTTGCTGCTGCACAGCGAATATGAACTTAAAATTTGATTGACAGCTTATTAATACAAATTTCTGAAGGGTATTCCTTTGAGGTGCTGAAAATTTGAAAGTGCAAAAGCACATAAAGTGTTTTGCATTTAATTAGGTTTAGAATCGTTAGAGTCCTTATAGTAACTAGACATCACTTTAGAGATCATATTTATAAAAGTGTTTTAAATACAACTCAAGATACGAACAGCAAATTTGGATTGTATTTTTAAAGTTTATAAGAGTAAAGATTCAATTTCAAAGCAACATTTCAAAATCCATAGGAAATACATATGTGTATTCAAATATTTAACGATTTAGATAGAAATTTACTATAAATAAGCAGATTGCACATTTTTTCCGAGTGCCCCGATAAAATGGTAGCTTAGTTGCTCATAATTAACAACCACACACCTGCATTTCGTCTTGCCCGACATCCTAATTCGAATGCTATTCATAAAGCACTTTCACACACCCACACACACACACGTGCACACGCACGCACGCACACACGTGTGGGTACAAGGAGCAGATCCTTGCCAGCCGCAGGATAGTTTGGCAAACGCTTCCTCGGCGCCGCCACCTCCACCACCTCCGCCGCCCGAAAACTTTTTACTAATTTACATTCATTACACACATTTGCAATAAAACTAGAAACCCAACTCGTACACAAATTCAGACGCCCATATATGTGTGTACATAAAGGCTTCAAGGAGTGTGCCTGTGTGTGTAGGTATATGTACGACTACATTGACATTTTACATGCTTCATTAGCGTGTAAGCGCGGTAATAATGAAATTTCCTTATGGCTGCATTTCTCAGGAATACGGGAAAACTCCTGCATATTGATGCAAAGTTTTCGGTGGCGCAAAACTTGCGGCTATGTTGCCACAAAATTTATGCTCCGTTTTTGGCACCTCTTAAAGCACATTAAAGCTGCACATTTGCCGCTGATTGGCAAACGCAA